CTGTCCCTCTCCCTGTCCCTCTCCTTGCCCCTCTCCCTGTCCCTCTCCCTGTCCCTCTCCCTGTCCCGTCCCGCCGCTGTCATTCCCACCCGTGACCGCTAGGCGGCGCCAGAGCCCCGCAGCGCCTCGGGGGGCGTGGTCTCACAATACGTAGGCGTGTCCTTCCACTCATGGGCGTGACCTCACACCTATGGGCGTGGTCTCACCTCTGCAGGGCGTGGCCTTCACTGTGGGCGTGGCCTCGCAGTGCCCGCGGGGGGCCGGGGCGGGAGCGGAAGTGACGCAGCGCTGTCGCCATCATGGCGGGCAAGGGGGCGTCCCGGGTCCCCGAGCGGTGAGTGCGGCCCTGCCCGGCCCCGACGGCCACGTCTAAGGGACAGGGGGGTTGTAGGGCCCGCGGGCCGCTGGGTCTGGAAGGGTTGGAGGGTCTCGGACCGAGGGGTTGGGAGGCTCCCGGGACAGGGCCTGTTTGTGGGTCCCAGGCCTGGGGGTCTCTCCCCCAATTTAACCCCCCCCCACCCCCGTCCCGTTCCCGGCTCCAGGTGGACAGACTACATCCCCCTGGGCAGGAGGATACCGGGAACCCGCTTCATCGCCTTCAAGGTGCCCCTGAAGAAGGTGAGGGACCCCCCGGGCCCTGAGCGGGGGAGGAACAGCCCCGGGAAAGGGGCATTTAGGGGGGGTCCAGGGAGGGAGTTTAATGCCTGCTCTGAAACGCGGTTTCCCCTCAGAGTTTTGACAGGAATCTCTCTCCAGAGGAGAGGTTTTCCCCCCACGACCTCCTCAGGAAAATCAGGGAGAGGAAGGAGGAGCTGGGGCTGATCATCGACCTCACCTACACCCGGCGCTACTACGGGCCAGAGGTGGGTCTGGGGGGCTGGGAATGGGCAGGGTTTGCCTCCAGGAGGAGAATTCCAGGAGTGTGAGGCGCTGGAATCTCTGGCGGGGGCTGAGATGAACCATTGGAACCCCACGGGGGGTCTTTGTCCTTGCTCAGGGACCACCCTGGGGAACCAGCACGAGTTTGGGGCTGCCCTAAAGCTGGTTTTTTATGGGATCTCCTGGTTGGAAACGGCTCTGGGCGTGTGGATAATTGCTTGGAAAAGCATTCCAGCCTCTGGGTGCCCTCCCCAGGGAGCAAAGGAAGGCGGGAAAAATAACGTGGGATTTTGGTGCTGCATCAAAGGAGTGAAGCAGAGGGGTTTTAACCCAGAACTGTGTTGCTACTCTTTTGGGCTCAGTTGGAAAATCTCATTTTTTTTTGGGTTCTGGTTCATTAATTAATTTTAAAAAACCCTTTTTTCCTGGAAATGATGGGCTGTCCTTCCTTGCAGGAGCTCCCAGCCACGCTCTGCTACTCGAAGATCCTGACCATGGGGCACGAAATCCCCAGCAAACACACCATTTTCCAGTTCAAGTGTGTGGTGAAGAAGTTCCTGAATGACAACAAGGACAATGGTGAGCGTGGGTGTCCCTGCTGTCCCAGTGCTGGGGTTTTAGGGGGCAGCAGGGACTTCTTTTCCCTTCCCTTGGCCTGGGAATGTCAAGGCAGCAGGTTGACATAAATAAAATTAGACACAATAAATAAATAACAGTCAGTAAGAGAAGATAAAAATAAATATTAGTAAATAAATTAAACATAATCAGGTGTAAATATAGTGATGGAATGTTGTGTGTGGCAGTTTATTGGTGTCTGATGGAGAGGTTAGTGCAGAGGGGTTTGTTCTGGGGGGGATTTTGGGGGGAAAGGGGAACTCAAACATCCTCTGCTTTGGGTGTTACAGACAAACTCATCGGGGTTCACTGCACCCATGGCTTGAACAGGACTGGCTACCTGGTGTGCAGGTGAGTTGTCCTCGTCACAGGGGGTTCGGGGGGGGGGCATTTCCAGGAGGAAACAATGCCAAGGAAACAGAGTCAGGTGATCTGTGTAATCCCAGCCCTCCACAGATTGTCACTTTTTATCCCAATTTCAGCACAGCAGATGCTGATCCCCCAGCCTGGCACCTAAATGAAAGCTCTGCCAACCTCCCAGTTCCTCCTGCTGTTTGAATCACCCCCGAGCTGTGTTTTTTTTCCTCGTTAATTGGGTGTAATTGGGTTTTTTTTGCTCAGGTACCTGATTGATGTGGAAGGCATGGAGCCCAACGCTGCCATAGAGTGTGAGTGTGGGCTCTGGGTTGGATGGGGGTGGAATTTGGGGAGTCCTGAAGGTTTGAGGTGGCTGCAGGGAGGGCAGCTGTGCTTGGTTGAAGGGGTTAAAATCCTTGTGAAGCCCCAAAAGTTGTGACTCAGACCTGTCCTGTCCCCATCTCTGCAGTGTTCAACAAATCCCGAGGGCATCCCATAGAGAGAACCAACTACATCCAGGATCTCAGGAACAGAGCTGGGAAAAAGTGAGTCCTGGT